GAGAAACAGATAATAGTTACATAGTTGGTTGCAGCGTCCGAATGAGAATTTCCATTGTGATCGTATCGTCCACGAAGTGCTTTGTGAAGAATTTTTCACTCATAGATGGTTTGTCGAATTACGCGGTTCCTTGTTACGAGTGTTTATGTGTCTGGTTTTGGTTTAGTTTAGCCATAAATATATGATATTAGAGAGAAAAATAGGGAATTCGGCGAAGATATCTATCAGTAATTTGTAGGCTGAAAGTATTGACGTTCGCGGGTAGCATGAAGCATACTAACGCAAGATCTAATACACACAACTTCTATAGTATTCGTTTCGCGTAGACCAAAGGCAAAGCTAATCACCAGGGTTGCCCGTCCAAATGGCGAGTAATATTTCGGGACCAAATCGGCTTGAGAGATGATTACTTAACTAGCTAGGGATCGTGCACGAACGAAAATATCACAACGGCGTCCCAGATGGCGTGGATGTTTGACCGGAAGCCTTCAGCTAAACAAGTTGACTTAAACAGTGAGGGTCAGCATCCAATGTTCAGTGATGAATGCTGTGGCCAATAGTTCTGGGGAATTACCTACCGCTACAGCTACTCTAAGACAAAACCAGCCGGAAATGACAAACCCACTGGTTTTCCCATCAATAAAAAACTCTTCCGATTGCCTTGATGTAGTGCCTAATGGTCGTCTACCTATGCTAATAGGGTGTCTGTACATCGCTTCGTTGATGTTTGTTCTTTGGATTTCGTGCTTCGTTTGCCTCTTTTCCAGTGCCCGTCGCACCCGGAGAAGAAAACAAGAATGCTAAGAACTTTGTTGAGGAAGGCATACCAAAAGAAACGTTTGAAAAATTATATGCATCTACCATACAGTAAAATAATGCGAAAATAGAATATTGACAAAAGTATATTTCTAATTTTTTAGTGAATGTAACATGTATGGTTATGGAAAAGCTTTTTACCTGTGTTGTGGGACGCAATATAAAAAAGATGTGTCTGAAAGAAAGAAAGAAATACTACAAACGTATAAGAAATGGGTGAATCGCGTCTCTTAGTTATTGATATAAGTGTGAAGATGTACGGGGAATCTCATGGTTCGTTCAGGACGCGTTCACTTTGAGGGCTCGACAGAACGTTCAGCGGCTTTCGCCATGCTAGTGATTTATTCGAGGACTAAAGGATATTCAATTACTTGTGTATTACTAGGAATGTTCAGCTTTAGGCTTATAGGATTGCCTTCTAAGTAGGCCGTTTCAGACGGTCGATGCTAACGGTGTCTTCGCGGCCTTTTTTGTCTAAGACAAGGAATTTATCCATACGTTCAATGACTTTGTGCGGTCGATCGTATGGGGGTTCTATAGGTGATGCACAGAGTCATGACGAGCGAATACGTATGGGAAAGTTTTCAGACTTGGTTGAACAGAGACGTCTATGAACTATGGTCGGAGGGGAGCAGGTTTGACTGAACGCATTGCGCTTGTAAGCCTGCTGACGTATGAGGTGTGATCTACTGCTGGTGGGAAGGTAGAGAGAGAAATAAATACCCACCTGGCAGTGGTATTTCTGTGTTACGTACTAGCTCGGTGGTAGTACAACCAGCATCAGTTTTCAAGGCGTTTCGTATCCCTAGGAGAACTAACGGAAGTGATTCAGTCCAATGTACATTGTTTGCAGCTGATCACCCAGCCTTCAACTATTGGTGTAAACTTTCTACCATACTATTAGCTTGAGGATGGTAGGCCATTGCTCTAAAAGGCATACAACCTAGGATTTTAGTCAAGGTAAAGAATGGGCCGCTTTCAAATTACCGCCCGCGATCAGTTGTTGTGGAGGATGGACATCCAAAACTTGCGATCCATCGTTCGACAAAGATGTGTGAGACTGTCTCGACAGATGCATCCTTGAGGGGTACTACTTTAGGCCAACGCGTAAAACGGCTGGTGCAGGTCAGGATATAAGCATATCCATGAGATTCTGGGAATGGTTCAACTAGATCTATATCGATGTGTTCGAAAGGAGCATCAGGGATAAGAAAGGTGCTTCGGCGGTTTCTGGAGTTTCTTACTACCTTGCATTTTGGCAAACCAAGCACATATCCACGCATTCCCTCACTTCTTTATTAGTACCGGGCCAACGAAACCGACTAGTCATGAGCTTGATAATAGTTCAAATGCCAGGGTGGGATAAGCCGTGCAAGGTATTGAAAGGCGATAACTTTCATGCACGATGGGGTGAAGAGTACTCATAGAAATGCCACAAAGAATAGTGCCTGTCCCTGTACCTAAGGGTTTCTCAGCTAATTGCAGTGTTGTTTTCAACAGCTAATGTTGAAGCTCGGTATCTTTTTGAAGACGAGCCAGTTTCACAAGGTCTATGCCATCTGCTTGTGTGAGGGAACAAATGTGCGGCAAGGCATCTGCCACAGTGTTGTTCACTCCGGATATATGGCGAATATCCGATGTGAACTTTGAAAAGTAGTACAGTTGCCGTGATTCTCTAGGTGGATACTCATCTGGGGTTGAGTTCAGATAGTACATAAGGGACTTTTGGTTGGTAAAAATTAGGCATTCGCGACCCTCCAGTGAATGTCTGAAATGACGTATAGCACATTACATAGCAAGAAGTTCTCTGCCGAATGTGCTGTACTTCGTTTCTGCTAACTGAAGGCGCCTCGGGAAAAAGGCGAGTGGTTGTCACTTTTTGTCGGGTAGTTGTTGCAGAACTGCGCCGATTGCAGTGTCTGATGCATAAACCAAGATACTTAACGGTGCTGTTGAATCCTGATATATAAGAAGTGGGGCATCCGCGATAGCTTTTTTAACCTGAGTGAAAGAATTTCGGGCAAACGCGTCAAGTTCGATGGACTTGTTATTCCCTCGAAGAAGGTTAATGACTGAATCAGAGAACAGTTAGGAATGAAGCTTCGGTAATAACTTACCAAGCCGTTCACCGTATTTAGCTCCGAAATGTTAAGTATCGACTCGATTCACTGTCTAGCGGGCGGACACTCTAGCAGTCAGTGGTGTGGCTGAGAAAGTTGAATGATTCTACTCCTATCTGGCACTTTGAATATTGGTGGTAACACCATGTCGGCGTAATCTCTCGAGTGCCAAATCCAAATGTCTAGGGTGAGTTTCCTTGTCTGAACTCGCAATGAGACAGTCGTCTAAGTACGCGCATACAAAGTCGACACCGCGAAGTACTCCGTCAATGAAGCGTTGGAATATTTGTGCTGCATTCTGGGGACAGAATGGCATACGTAGAAATTCAAAAAGTCTGAAGGGCGTAATGACAGCCGTTTTCAGAATGTCATCAGGTGCAATTGGGATTTGGTCGCATGCTTTATCCAAGTCTGTTTTCGAAAAAATAGTTGTACCAGATAGTACTGCCGTTAAGTAATGCATGGCAATAGATAGCAATCAGGGGGCATTTTTGCGTTCACTCGCTGATAATAACCAGCGTGTTACCAATCGTTGATGCCTCCTTTTGGTACCATGTGGAGTGGGGATACCCGTGGGCTATTCGATGCACAAATGATGTCAAGAGTGAACATATGACAGGATCCATTTTCCGCCAACCGTTGTGCATTGGATGTCACGGGCTGTCCTGACGTTTTGATGTGATGCATAACATTGCCGGTTTTGCAAGGTAGGTGGTGAGATTGGCAATTAAATTCTGGGTACTTGTCAACAACCGGCTGAAAAGTTGGATTCACGTGAAAAACGCGTTTCATATCTAGGAAGTGGTTGGACTAATTTAGAGGAGGCGAATCAAAAAAATACTTCACTCCATTATCATCCCCAACGGGAAAACCCAGATGTAATCTTCACAACTTCGAGGAATCATTCCTAGTCCGGTTTATCTTTTCTTCTCTCATCCACCGCATGTATTCATTCATCCGAAGAACAAAAAAAATTAGAATAATAAATTAGAGAGTTACTTTAGTATCTGACTTACCTGCTGTCAGAACGCACGGTACTCGGACCTCTCCTAGTTATTTTGTATATCAATGAGTTATCTCTACTCACCGACCACCCTATGGTCCTATACGCAGATGACTTACAAATTTGCAGAGAGCTGAAGGGCAACAGTGACGCGTCTACGTTGCAAGAGGACCTCAAAAAATTGTCAGAGTGGTCCATAGAATGGATGCTCCCGATAAGTGTGGCAAAATGTGCAACCATGCGCATTGGACAATCAAGCACGAGCTCCTACGAATTAGAGGGAATTACACTTCCATCAGTTCAGACTCACTTGGACTTAGGTGTCATAGTTAGCCACGACTTAAAAACTACAGCACACAGTTGCGCGGGGGCTGCACGTAGTGTCAGGTCATTATGGGCAATTCGTAGAGCCTTCACTAGAATCACCAGAGATATGTTCACCTCCTTATATACATCTCTGGTGAGGTCAAGACTGGAAAACTGCATCCAGGCCGTCAGCCCTTGTCTAAAAGGGGACTCACTTATTCTAGAAAGGGTTCAAAGGAAAGCAACACGTATGATTCATGGCATGACTAACTTATCATACGAGAAAAGACTAGACAGTTTAGATCTCTTCTCCTTGTCATACCGTAGGCAGAGAGGAGATTTAATCACAATGTTTAAAATTTTAAATAATGACTACGGACCTGACCTACTTTCTCTTTTCCTTCCCACCAGGTCGGAACACCTTAGAGGACATAGCAGGAGAGTTCAAAAGCAAAGAAGAAATCATATTGCTGTTGAGTACTGGTTCTCACACCGAGTCATAAACTCTTGGAACCGACTCCCAGAAGAAGTGGTGTCTGCAACCTTAGTTGATTCGTTCAAGGAGGGTTTGGACAACCACAGAAATTTACTAGAAAAGGATTAAAATAGGCTTCTGTCATCAACCAATAAATCTGAAATCTTCAGCGATCCGGTTTCAAAAATCGTTATAATCCTCTTCATAGTACTTCTCAAGGTCGACTCACTAGAGAGGTGAATTTATTTCTCGCCCAACATTTAGTGTCTTTCTGAGTGGAATGGTCTCAACTGATAGCAAAGCATGCATTTTAAATTATGTAAGAAATTGCTTTGCATCAGGAGACGACTCGGGGTTTTGTGAACAGCTTCTTAACGGTGCTGAATCAGCCACTGATGAAGAAATCCACTGCATTTTAAGTGGAAAATAGTGAGTTGTCGTTACTTGCTATCCTAAGTATCAGTTCAAGTAAAATCGTTGACACAGAATCCGAGAATTTCTATAGATATTCTCCAGAATGCCCTTTTGTTCCTTGTGAGGGTAAGTTGATCCGTACATTTTGTGTTACATACGGTCACAGATCCACTTCTTCTTCTCAATGCTTCTGCAGACGATTGTGAGAACTCCACGAATATTTCGAGGTCTTCACGAAAAGGAAATCCGCCGGAAACCCGAGAACTGTCCGGTGAGTTATTTTGGGCATATTTGGTTGTAGATTTAATTATGAAACAATTCTGTTGGGCAAGTCAGTTTCCCCGAATTTTTGTTGATTGTTCCTTAATACATAGGAGGGACTAAATTGGCTGCTTCGTGGGGCTTCCTTGTAAAAGCTCTTCGAAGAAGCTCCTAATTCCGAATTAATATTTGTTCCTTGAGTTTCGAATGGGACATAAAGATTCACTGGTGATATATAAAAGCAACTTCGGGTCATATAATCATACAGCTCCTCATGATATGCCTTTCCTACATGATCAAACTGTGGCAGATAATGCAATTATTTTCCTAATAGCAAGCGTTTTCAACACACACTACATATGAAACACAAAGGTAGAGAGAAGAAACAAGAAGCTTCTGCGACCTCAGTTACCAGTCAGGGGACCAATATCTATATCCCATTAAGGTAGCTGTTGAGTGCTGAGAGAATTTAGGGCGACTGTATGACAGTTGGACTACTCCTCACTGTCCCCTCCATGAATACATAGTTATTTGAACAGAATCGTAAGAGGACCATCCTTGTCAATCAGTCGGTATGGAAATCAGTCTACGAAACTGTGAAATTACATCGACTGAGATGGTTAGGACATGTGCTACATATGCCTTGTCATCGCCTTCCTCGACAGGCAATGTTAGCTGATATAGGGCCAGGCTGGAAAAGAGCTAGCGGCGGTAAAACGAAAACATTGTACCAGTCAATGAAATCCACAACAGTTAGCTTAAGCCACGTAGGAAGATGTAGACTTACTAGTTGGGGTCCTCGGGACGGTAGAAACCAATGGTTGGAAACAATTGGTGACATGGCTCAAAATCGTTCTCAGTTGCGCAGATGCATCCACTCCTTGTGACTTATGATTTCCAATTAAACTGTTTTGTTCTCCGTTATTACTATTCCTTTGTCTCACACCTCTGTTTACTGACTATATTATGCATTTCTTCTACTTTCTTCTCTTGCTTTGTGTGCTACATGGAGTGTGGCGACTTGAACTACCGCACATATGCGCATAGTTCTATGTCGAAAACCGACCGGTATGGGACGCCATTAATACACATTTCTAACTGACATGGCTTTCCTACGTAAGTACTAAGATCACCTTTTAAAATGCCTTTTACTTTCAGAAGTAAACCACAGTCTTTGATAGGACGCATCCTTTACTTCGTCTAAAACGCATTTGATATCGAGGGAAGTAAACTGCGATTATGAAACGACATCAACAGGTATCACAATCTTCCCTGAAAATGGATCAGTCCATCTGGACAGCATATGTACCCCTGTCCCCTGGAATCAAGTTTGCTACCAATTTATCAGTCCCAGCACCAAATATAACGATTTATTAACAGTTCTACGGAAATAAGGATAAAACTTCAAGACTGGTAGAATATAATTCCATTTAGGATAAAATTTTACTTTGTTAAAGTCACACAGTGTTATACAGTAATATTAGCTGATGACATTTCGAGCACAATTTATTGCTTATAATCATATTTTAATTTAATGCCTAAAACTAATAATGCTAGTAGAATATATGGTACTATAAAAATACATAAACCAGGTTACCCCATACGACCAATAGTAGATTTCAGAAATACCCCTACTTATGAATTATCAAAACAGTCCTAATACCATGTCCCATGAGAAATCATGCAAACTCTAGGCTAACTAATTCATATCTAATGAAAAGGAAACTAAATGGCATTCAACTAAAGAATAATGGAAAAAATGATTAGTTTTGATATAACTAGTCTTTACACTAATATACCAATCAATATGGCCTTAGAAGCAGTTAAAAGAGAACTAAATCCTGATCCCGAACTTAGTCGTAGGACAAAGCTGATCACTGAGAAAATTATTTTAGGAATTCATTTTTATACCTCACACCTACTGTCTTTAAATTCCAAGGCAAAATATATAGACACACAGAAGGTGTAGCAATGGGATCACCAATATCTCCTATCGTAGCAGATATCTTTATGGACAGCGGGGAATATACTGCTCCTAGTACATTTAATCCTCCTCCGAAGATATGGTGAAGATATGTGGATGACACTTTCTCATTATCAAAAACAGAACATATCTCTGGCTTCTCAATTACTTAGACTTTAATTCATCTTATCCGTTATCTGTTAAGGCAGGCTTAGTTAGATGTCCAACAAACCGAGCAAAAGCAATAAGTAGTACAAAAAAGACCTAAATGATGGAATGAAACGGATAGAAAAAGCGTTGGTGTTAAATAACTATCCTATAAAATACGTTAGCAAGATCGAAATTGGGAAAAAGCGAAATAAAAATAGCGGTGAAACTAATTATGATAACATAAATAAGAAGGAATATAAGGTATCTACAGTTTTACCATATAGGGAGAAGACACCTGAGGCCCGACGTGGGATTCTGAATAAAGCAGGAATTGGGGTGGCATTCAGACCTACAAACTCACTCAGAGACAAGCTCTGTAAGCTAAAGGATCCGGTGGACCCAATTAGACAAAATAATATAATTTACGAAATACCTTGCAATGACTGCAAGTTCAACTACATAGGTCAAACTAGTAGATCTGTAACATAAGAATTTAGCTAAGTTTAGAATAATTTACCCCACAAAGATAAGTAATTCAGAAAAAACTCAGCAATTGCACTGCATGCATTAACACATAACCACACCATAGGGTGGGAGAGGGTTAAAATTCTAAGAAGTAGGTGGAGAGAGAGGTTGATTTCTGAATCCTTGTCCATCGAGTCTACACCCAACATGTGCAATATAAGTGACTCAACGCAATCACCAGAGATATGGAAGATATTATTACTTACGTAGGGAAGCCGTGTCAGTTAGAAATGTGTATTAATGACGTCCCATACCGACTGATTGACAAGGATGGTCCTCTTACGATTCTGTTCAAATAACTATGTATTCATGGAGGGGACAGTGAGGAGTAGTCCAACTGTCATACAGTCGCCCTAAATTCTCTCAGCACTCAACAGCTACCTTAATGGGATATAGATATTGGTCCCCTGACTGGTAACTGAGGTCGCAGAAGCTTCTTTTCTCTGCCCTTGTGTGCTATATACATTATGGAAAAGTGAGTTGTTGTACTTCTGTGCAATGACCTATTTTAAATCCCTTTCAGGCTGGCGAAGCAGCAGGGCCTGATGGTTCGACCCCAGAGATGTTTAAGGCAGGTGGTGATGAACTGTTACCTGGGTTAATCATGAGATTAAGTAGTGTTTAGGAATCTAAGGTAATCCCGCTAAACTGCCGCAAATCACAGATTGTCCCAGTTCATAAGAAGCAAACAAGTCCTCCTGTAGTAATGATAGGGTGATCAGCTTGACAAACATAGTATCTGAAATTCTAGGTTGATTAATCCTGCGTAGACTAAGAGGTCCTAAGAAGAGACAAATCAGTGGAAATCCAGCAGGCCTTGTTGTCGGAGGGAGGTGTATTGATCATATCTTCACATTTCGACACACCAAAACGTTCCATATTTTATAACGTGAAGGTGGTTCTTGACTCCGGTTGATTGGTGCTATGCTAATTAAGGGGTGCTGTCACCTGAAATAAAAAAATCCATGTTGTCTTTCGGGAATATCTTATCTCTCCACTATAATTTGATTTATTCATGTATGTGCCAATAGATGTGACCCTAATTGATTTTAGAGACATAGGGACTGAATAGTTGTCAGGTTATAGTATTGTTGATTTATAGTATGTATATAGTCTAGTCCTTTAAGGTGAAGACACTAAATAAATCTTGTTCCCTCCGAACACCTTGATCAGAAATCTGAATATTTACAGTATGTGACTCACCTTCATCAAATATAACACCATTCTAGAGGACTGGTCTGCACCGAGTCCTGTTTTGAAAATAGGGAGTAGAATAATTGAGCCTGTTGACCACCTCACTTATTTGGGAAGTTTTTTCAATCCTAATCGACTAGTTTTTGAGGAATCTTAGAACGCATATTGAAGACTCATGTGGACTTCTCTAACTCACATCATCTCTGGTGTAGATGTGATATCCGGCTATCGACCAATAGACATATGCACTGCTCATCATTTCGTCTTGTTCTCTTTTAACTCATGAGACATGGCTGTTAAGAATGCAAGATATAAAGGGGCCATCTGTCTTTGACCATAGGTATTTACGTTGTACCTCCAATGTTAGATGACATGTGGTGAGTAATATTGAGGTCAGGTGTAGACTGTTAGGTTAGGATGGATAGTCAGTCGATGAGGTTTTGAATGCGCCATACATCACTTGAGATGTATTCATCATTCTATATGTCTAGACCTATATGTGTTTATCCTATCACTGGATGAATGTTACTGTTATACTACCTTTGTTATTATTTATTTACTTATTTTGTTGTTATTCGTTTAGCTGAGGAAATAGACAAATATTTCCCTGCAAAACCAATAATTCGAACAAATAAACCAAGTGAACCATTTAAATCAGCACTCACATTAGCCCTGGAAGAAGCTAAATTAAGTGGACAACTAAAAAGAAATAAAATATTTTCTGACTTCGCTGTTTATGATGCTCGATCAGTACTAAGTAAGAACCAGCGTCCTTCAGAAGATTGTCTTTTCAATATGTATCCAGACTCTCCTCTACGCCAGTTCAATGTGTGGTTATGGAGACTCAATGGATTTCCACGGACGTTAATTAAAGTGCAACCGCGACTTGGTACTACAGTACAACAATTTATAGGACTTACTTTATGGCAGTATATTAATGAGTTTTCAACTTCTGGTAGTGATAATACTCATTTATCAAGTCGTTTGGATCAACTGGATGAGTAAGCTTTGTATGTATGATGTCGAATTGTCTGTTCCTTCTAGAACAAGTTTATATTTGTATATATACTTCTGTTAGTTTCACTGCCCCCACAAAAGACTTGGTACGTCCGAGGGTGGTGGACTTCAGTCTTCCTTTCGAAATGCTTTCACGTGGCCATGCGTCCATAGCCTCTGCCATGTAAGTCCTATTCACTGCATTCACAAGGCTAAGGGGTGGGTGTTAGTGTTCCTCACAATGGGGAAACGGCGAATGCGATCATCTGGCGCTTGCAACTGGACTGGTGGAGGGAGGCCAGAAAACCCTGATTCTATACCTATGGTGTGCATGGGCTTCAGAATCACAAGGGATCGAATGGTTTGGGAACTTGTTTTGGTCACTGGCGACTATAGGAATACAGCTCCACCGCCTTGTGGATCAAGTCAAAGACTCAGGTTGAGGTCTCTCAAGATAACCACTTGCTTCGGTCTGGGTGCCTGGAGCAGTATCTCAGCCCTTGCAGGCACTATGCGGTCCCTTGCTGCCCGTAATATGCCAAGTTTGTGTTTTCTAATCAATTTTTTTTTCTGGGTTAGTTTCACTGTGGGGTATTTGTAAACAATTATGTAAAAGAAACAAAGGTGGCCGTAATAATACTACTTATCTGTAATATTAATTCGAAATAAGCTGGATATCAGTAAATGAGACAACAGTACAGAGAAGCCAGAAGTCAAACATTCCCTCACCATATCGTGTAAAGAGAACATCATATTCAATATTTTTAATCATGCAAGGATTTGTATACCGCATCGACAATACTGTGTGAAACAAGCCCACGGCAATTTCCACTTGTATTATTATCATTACCTTAGCTGCTATCGTTATTATTATTTCTATTTTATATGCTGCATGTTTTTTATTTTTTAATTTTTTATATTAACCGTATTGTAAATGTAGAAAAATTTTCTGTGTGATTAATTTTATTTATAATTTGAGGGAATTAGATGCAATATTGTGATTAATGCTGAAAATTCCATTCTGTATCACAAGTACTGTTTTTGGAATAAAATAAATTATTATTATTATTATTATTAATTGGCATGGATCATTCGTATTTTGTACATAGAATAAAGAGAAATAAACAATAATGACCATTTAAACAATACAACAATAGAAATAGTCAATCACCACGATAGAATAAAATTCAAACATCAAGGCTATAAGATTTCGAGGAAGACATAGTATTAAGCGTTTCTAGTCGATCCAGAAGTCTAAGATCTTTAATCTGGAGATATAGAAAAAAGCAAACATAATTTTCACTGGAATAGACTGGTAAGCCTTTTTTCTTGCTAAGGTATAACATCTCTGCTATCTAAATCACATGTGATATAAGAACAAATTAGTTCAGCGAAGAGTCTCTTCTCGGCGAATTCATTCAATTAGCTGTACAGTCGCAAATATATACAATTAATTTTGTGTGTGTGTGTGTGTACATTAGGTTTGTCAAAATCAAAATCAAAATAACAGTTAGTGTGGGTTGTTGATTACATCATCAAAATAATAAAGAAATTAAAATGTGTGATTAATAATCAAAGTTGTAACTAAGTGGGGTGAAGATTAGTAAGATGTGAGTAGGGTTACGGAATATAGACATGTTTAGAAAGATTAGATGTTAGTGAAGGAGTATGGAGACAATTATGAAAATAAACTAGATAATAGGTGAAAAGATTGAATGGGTTAGTTACTAAAATTATTATACGAAAATTGCAAAAAATTTGATAACAAAATGTTGATAACAGATAAACTTGAAATTAAACCCACGGCAGTAGGAGGGGGTGGAGAAGTTTTTTCTGTGTGCATAAATCAGGCTTTTCTATCCAAATCGCTAAGGCTTCGGCAATACAAAGTATACGGAAGCTTGTCGATTTTGGAAGGCTTCTTTTAACTTTATAGATAACTTTGAACGACTTCTCCTTGCAAATCGAATGACCAGTGTTGAGTATATGCTCAATAATGGCGCTCCTTATTGTTCCGTTGTTACCTTTCCGTAGCCAGGCGGGATAGTGTTCTTGAACTCTTTTAGGTAAAACTAGCATAGAACGACCTATATACCTCGCTCCGCAAGAGCAGGTGAATTGGTAGATACACATGGAAGTGGTCAAATGCGATAGTTTATCTTTAGAGTAGTTGAAGAACAATGGCCGGGAGGAATATGTCAGTCGTAGTGTGGCAGCGAAGAATGTCTTTCTGAGAGCAGTAGATATCCTCTTCTTCAAGGTGTCAGCCAGAAGGTCACCTTTGAAGGGTACGTTCATGTAGACCATCTTCTTCTGCACTGTAATGGGTTGTTCTTTGTAAGTCTTAGGCTTAATATGCTTGTCTATAAAATGGGGTGGGTAGCCATTCTCCAGCAGTGTCTTCCTTAAGAGGGCGATCTCTTCCTCTATTGATTCAGGACTGCAGATTTTTCGGATTCTAGTCGCCAGAGATATTATCAAGTTTCGCTTGCGACTAATTGGTACCCAACTGTAGAAGTTTGTCAACTGACCGTTCCATGTAGGTTTTCTGTGTACTGATCTGTTCAAGGTACCATCGGTCTTCTTACTTAAACGAACATCCAGAAAGGAGATTGTCTCTTTGGTTTCTACTTCGATTGTAAATTTGATGGCGGGGTGGCAACTATTGAAGACTTGAAGAACAATATTTTGATCACAATTGTTATCGCAGATGACGAAATTATCATCAACATACCTTTTGTATAAGAAGAATTTGTCGATGGTTGCTTTCAGCGGACCGTTTTCCAAACTTGCCATGAAAATATCAGCCAGCACCGGACCCAAAGGTGATCCCATCGCCACGCCATCTTGTTGTCTATAGAAGTTCCCATTGAATGTGAACTGGACATTTAGGGTACATCTGAGTAGGAGTTCTTTTAGCTTGGTAGTAGGTATTCCAAGATTCAGGTTGTTTTCTTCCAAGTATTTGCATAGAAAACAAATTGTCTCAGTGATAGGGACGTTTGTAAAGAGAGACTCGACGTCGAGTGAAATCATACGTTTGTCTCCCACTTTAACATCTTTGATACAATCGATGAATTCAAAAGTATCTCGAAGAGAATGTTTTGAAATTCGTTCTCTAACAGGTTGTAGGAGTTCTGCTAGCCATTTCGCTATTGGATGATACGGAGATCCCGACATGTCCAAAATAGGGCGCGGTGGAAGACCCTGTTTATGAGTTTTTGGCAATCCGTATAGTCAGGGTATTATTGAACCTGTAGATCGAATGCTCTCGAAGACATTTTCAGAGATAACTTGATCAGTTTTTAGCTTTCTCAAGATCTCAGTTAGCTGTTTTTCCGTTGCCTAGGTTTTCTCTTTCTCTTTTTCGAATACTGAGAACTTGTTGTTGTCTGAGAGAATCGCCACCATTTTATTAATATAATCTTTTCTATCCATTAAGACTATGCCTGTACCTTTATCAGGGCGTGTGATAAGCAATTCTTTGTTCTGCCTCAGTTGGTTGAGTTGTTCTCTATGCTCTTTGGTCAAAAGATTGTTGAACTTGGACTTTGTATTGAGATACTGTTGACAGGAGTCTAGAATAGTAGACTTAAAATGTTTGAATTCTTCTTCGGAAGCTGGGACAAGATCAGTAGTCTGATTGATCAAATTTTCAAACTCGACATAGGTATTGAGCTGGCTTATGTTTGAGTTCATGTCGCAAAATCTTGGCCCGAGAGACAAGGCCTCCCATTGTATTCCAAATAACTTTACTGAAGCATAATTGAATATAAATTTGGTGGGATCTTCTGGAAACTTGCATCGTGTTTCTGTAGGTGTGAGACTTTTCAATAAGTTAGAATGGATGGATTCTCACTTATTGAAAAGTCTCACAGCTACAGAAACACGATGCAAGTTTCCAGAAGATCCCACCAAATTTATATTCAATTATGCTTCAGTAACGTTATTTGGAATACAATGGGAGGCCTTGTCTCTCGGGCCAAGATTTTGCGACATGAACTCAAACATAAGCCAGCTCAATACCTATGTCGAGTTTGAAAATTTGATCAATCAGACTACTGATCTTGTCCCAGCTTCCGAAGAAGAATTCAAACATTTTAAGTCTACTATTCTAGACTCCTGTCAACAGTATCTCAATACAAAGTCCAAGTTCAACAATCTTTTGACCAAAGAGCATAGAGAACAACTCAACCAACTGAGGCAGAACAAAGAATTGCTTATCACACGCCCTGACAAAGGTACAGGCATAGTCTTAATGGATAGAAAAGATTATATTAATAAAATGGTGGCGATTCTCTCAGACAACAACAAGTTCTCAGTATTCGAAAAAGAGAAAGAGAAAACCTAGGCAACGGAAAAACAGCTAACTGAGATCTTGAGAAAGCTAAAAACTGATCAAGTTATCTCTGAAAATGTCTTCGAGAGCATTCGATCTACAGGTTCAATAATACCCTGACTATACGGATTGCCAAAAACTCATAAACAGGGTCTTCCACTGCGCCCTATTTTGGACATGTCGGGATCTCCGTATCATCCAATAGCGAAATGGCTAGCAGAACTCCTACAACCTGTTAGAGAACGAATTTCAAAACATTCTCTTCGAGATACTTTTGAATTCATCGATTGTATCAAAGATGTTAAAGTGGGAGACAAACGTATGATTTCACTCGACGTCGAGTCTCTCTTTACAAACGTCCCTATCACTGAGACGATTTGTTTTCTATGCAAATACTTGGAAGAAAACAACCTGAATATTGGAATACCTACCACCAAGCTAAAAGAACTCCTACTCAGATGTACCCTAAATGTCCAGTTCACATTCAATGGGAACTTCTATAGACAACAAGATGGCGTGGCGATGGGATCACCTTTGGGTCCGGTGCTGGCTGATATTTTCATGGCAAGTTTGGAAAACGGTCCGCTGAAAGCAACCATCGACAAATTCTTCTTATACAAAAGGTATGTTGATGATACTTTCGTCATCTGCGATAACAATTGTGATCAAAATATTGTTCTTCAAGTTTTCAATAGTTGCCACCCCGCCATCAAATTTACAATCGAAGTAGAAACCAAAGAGACAATCTCCTTTCTGGACGTTCGTTTAAGTAAGAAGACCGATGGTACCTTGAACAGATCAGTACACAGAAAACCTACATGGAACGGTCAGTTGACAAACTTCTACAGTTGGGTACCAATTAGTCGCAAGCGAAACTTGATAATATCTCTGGCGACTAGAATCCGAAAAATCTGCAGTCCTGAATCAATAGAGGAAGAGATCGCCCTCTTAAGGAAGACACTGCTCGAGAATGGCTACCCACCCCGTTTTATAGACAAGCATATTAAGCCTAAGACTTACAAAGAACAACCCATTACAGTGCAGAAGAAGATGGTCTACATGAATGTACCCTTCAAAGGTGACCTTCTGGCTGACACCTTGAAGAAGAGGATATCTACTGCTCTCAGAAGGACATTCTTCGCTGCCACACTACGACTGACATTTTCCTCCCGGCCATTGTTCTTCAACTACTCTAAAGATAAACTATCGCATTTGACCACTTCCATGTGTATCTACCAATTCACCTGCTCTTGCGGAGCGAGGTATATAGGTCGTTCGATGCGAGTTTTATCTAAAAGAGTTCAAGAACACTATCCCGCCTGGCTACGGAAAGGTAACAACGGAGCAATAAGGAGCGCCATTATTGAGCATATACTCAACACTGGTCATTCGATTTGCAAGGAGAAGTCGTTCAAAGTCATCTATAAAGTTAAAAGAAGCCTTCCAAAATCGACAAGCTTCCGTATACTTTGTATTGCCGAAGCCTTAGCGATTTGGATAGAAAAGCCTGATTTATGCACACAGAAAAAACTTCTCCACCCCCTCCTACTACCGTGGGTTTAATTTCAAGTTTATCTGTCATCAACATTTTGTTATCAAATTTTTTGCAATTTTCGTATAATAATTTTTAGTAACTAACCCATTCAATCTTTTCACCTATTATCTAGTTTATTTTCATAATTGTCTCCATACTCCTTCACTAACATCTAATCTTTCTAAACATGTCTATATTACGTAACCCTACTCACATCTTACCAATCTTCACCCCACTTAGTTACAACTTTGATTATTAATCACACATTTTAATTTCTTTATTATTTTGATGATGTAATCAACAACCCACACTAACTGTTATTTTGATTTTGATTTTGACAAACCTAATGTACACACACACACACACAAAATTAATTGTATATATTTGCGACTGTACAGCTAAGTGAATGAATTCGCCGAAAAGAGACTCTTCGCTGAACTAAGTTGTGCTTATTTCAATGTCTTTATGGGTATTTTTCGGAAATCACCTGTGTCTTTGTGAATGAAAATGTGTGGCGAATCCAGGAACGGTATTCTTGACTTCACTGTGAATCACTTCTCACGCCACCGTAGCAATAGTTTCATTGTAAAGTAGTTGGGTGTAGTGGATCAATATTCTATGTTTGCACCTCTATTACCCTGTTTTCTGATTTACTGATTGGTTTCAACGTAGAACTTTGCACATATTTGCATCAGCGCTTCGAGTTGCCAATCTGCCTCCATGTACCACAAAAAGCAAGAGAAGAGAGTTTAGAAAAGTTCAAAAGAAAGATAAGAAACTGAAGTGTGAGAGGAAAAGAATGGTAATACTGAAGAACAATGGAGTTTTATTGGATATGACAAGTCACAAATAGTGAATGCATCTGCGCCATTGAGAACGATTTTGAGTCACACCACCAGTTGTCTCTAGCCATCAGTTCTTACCATCCCGAGGGCCCCAACCAGCCAAAAAGTCTGTACCTTCCTACGTGGCTGGCTTATACTAACTGTTATGGATTTCATTGACTGATGAAGTCATGTTTTGGTTTGACCACCACTAGCTCTTTTTCCACCTGATCGTATGTCAGCTTACATTGCCCACCGGTCGAGGAAAGCGGTGGCTAAGCATGCGTAACACATGTCATAGCTATCTTAATCAATGTAGCTTTACAGGCTAATTTTTTGACTTTCCCTTCTTATCTAACACTTTGCCTAACTTGATTATTGCTCACACTATTTTACTACTTGACGCGGGAGATAGAACGGAGGCACCTATAATCAAAGACAGTTAGCCTTTTCGTATCTATTTGCAATGACCATGTCTCACAGCCGTAAGGGAAGACAGAGCGAACTGCTGAGGAGTACACACATCTTTTGATCGATAGCCCGATATCGCCAATATTGTACCTCTAGTACATAGAAGGTAATTTAGGAGTAACACGTGTTGATTATCCGCAAACGTTTATTATCTCATTTCAATACTCGTTTGGTTGTATTTGTCTATCAAATAGCTACTCATCTGTTGCTATATCCTTCTTTTAAGGATCCTGGACACAGAATTGTTGATTGGAAGATAGGCATTGTATTGTAAAAGATCACATAACTTTCTCTTCTCGGCATTCGTTGGTAGTGTTATATGACTGTACTACTATAAGGATAACATTATCTAACTGGGGTGGGGGGTATATAACTCATTTGATCACAAAATAACATGGGGTATTCACATTGATACGACTATAATAAATGTGGCATTTTCGAAGTATATAGAATGGGTTCGGAGAAAAAAAATGACTGGGTGCGAATCTCAAATGGGACGAAATGGACATTGCATTGGGGATTCCACAGTCAAGGGAAATGCACGTGTTATTAGTAGTTTGTTCAGTTTACCTGAAAGTTCCGTCTATTGATGTTGTTTTGTTTTGTTTTGTTTTGCTTTTTGTGTTATGAGTAAATTGTTATTTTCTATGAACTCAGATCATTTTTAGATCGACTTGCCTTGTACATGTTTGATACATCCGATGATGATGAAGATGTTGACTCAGAATTTCCACCACTTGAATTGAATGATCCGATTCATAAGTATCAATTTGAATCATTTGCTCTTGTTGAACGAGTTGAAACATCCTTACACGAACAATCGAAAGCAGAGGTGACAAGTGTACTAGTTACAATGTAAGTTTATAGATGTTTTTTTTTCTTTCCTGCATAAGTCATTCTTTCCATTTAAAAGCTTTAATCGCTAAAAATAGGTATGTATAGTGATTCCAGAAGGCCCATTCCCACTAGCCATTCGTGCATATTGAAAACTACTTCCACAATAGTGGTTCAGATATTATCACTGAAATTTTCACTGTGCTCGATCGATTTTTGAAAGCCATGGAAGTTCCACTAACCACCATCAAGGGGAGAAATTTGATAGAGGTCACTTCCTCCACTAACCTAGGCATCATCGTTTAAACTACAGGCACACCTCATGAATGAGGATGTCAAAATCAGAATCAGAAAGGCAACACCTACATTCATCACTCTGAAATCAGTGTGGAAATCTACTACACTCCACTGCACCATAAACAACAAAATTCGAATTTTCAACACCAATGTTAAGTCAGTCAGTCACTGCTTCTATATGAGTCGGAAACTTGACTAGTGCGTCACAAAAAGCACTTCCCACAGTCAGATGCACACTTTTATCAACAGTTGTCTCCGCTAGGTCATTACTGAAGACCAGACGGCCGGCTAGAAAGAATTAGCATTAAAAAAACTCTGAGAACGTACTAACCAAGAGCCTGTTGGTCAGCAAATGTGCCGAAGAAAATGGAAATGGATGAGGAAGACGTGAAATCGCGCTTCAGGCCTTAAATGGGAACCCAAATGGGGAACGACGAACCGGGTATCTGACGGTGACATATAAGAGGCTGTGTGAGGAGGGGATGAGAGCTTCTAAAGACCCAGAGGTGATGGAAGGAGTAGAGATGTGCTGTTGAAGCTCTATGTTATGCTTAGAACCCAAGGAAAGAATAACAGTGAAATATAATTATGGAAGTTCGGTTTACACCTCCAAACTACTTAATTTTTGACAAATGGTGATCTAATATGTATCTGTTATAAGTTGGTCTAACTCTTAGCCTCTTGTTCAGTAGACCAAATGTGCTACATAGCAGTTAAAAATTAACTGTTGTGACTGCATAGTTGTGTATACATTTCAAACAGTTTATTTCTAATCTCAACATGACTATGAACAATTGAATTGTGTTTTGAAAGTATTCTCAAGTGGATAATACAGTTTTACTGTGTGTTTGATATACTTGAAATAAAAAGTGTAAGTTATCAGTTATCGCTGAAAGGGAAGCGGCGAGTGGGACGTCCAAGGGTGACATGGAGGAGATCGTGTGAAGAAGAGTTGAAACAGTATGGACTAACATGGATGCAAGTGAAAAAAAAACAGCAGAAGACAGAAGCAAGTGGAGATGTGCAATTGAAGCCCTATGTTCCACTAGGAACCCAAGGGAACAATAATAATAATACCAGTTACTTGCATAAGAGGTACTTGTTCAAGCTTCATTCGTAGGCACAAAGTTTGCATACACTACATCTGAATTTAGAATTGGTCATGTAAACTAATGACCTACAGCTTGTATGTATGTGTGACTTGTAATTGGTAGCTGAATTAAAGTAACTTTGCAATGTTCTTTGCTCACTATTGTCCTTGGTGTTTATGCATCGAAAAATTGTTTCAATCTTATCATTTTTTGCAATTTAACAATTCTTTATTTTCAATAATACAACACTTTAAAAATGAAGTAAAAAGAGCATTCAATGCCGCTGAAGTACTCTTCCCCTTCAAAAACCGCCCCTAGTTTACGTTAGGAAGTTACCTAATTTTGCTTCTTCTATGTGTATCTATCAGTCTGACTGCTGCTGTGGGGCCAGTTACATAGGCCTGTACAAGTAGATGTGTTTATCGTTGGATTTCTGAACATCATCATGCATGAGTTAAGTAAGGGACAAACAAAATCCATTCATAATTCTATTCCATGTCATGTCGTAGATATAGAAGGCAAAATTGATGTTAACAAGGCTTTCAAACTCATCTGCCGTATTCCAATCAATCGTAATTTCACCTCAAAAGTTCATCTGTAACATATTGCTGATGACGTCAGAATCCATATTAAGAATCTTAACATCTTATATATCCAAAAGTGGTTGATTCAGACGCTTTCCTTAGCTTGGCCATCGTCAAGGTGTTAACTATCTTCAAATTTGTTGCATATGTTTCCTTGATTTTATCTGATATTCCGTTTACTTTATTATTATTATCATTGTTCCCTTGGGTTCCCTTGAGCTTCAACTGCATGTCTCCACTTGCTTCTGTCTTCTGCTGTACTTTTCACTTGCATGCATGTTAATCCATACTGTTTCAACTCCTCTTCACACGATCTCCATGTCACCCTTAGACGTCCCACTCGCCGCTTACCTTTCGGGTTCCACTCGAGCACTGGCCTGACGCGCGATGTCACCCAGTGGCCTCCTCAGCGAGTGTCCAATCCATCTCCACTTTCTCCCGCATACTTGTTGGGCGATTGGTTCTTGTTTTGTCTGTTCCCATAGTTTCTTGTTGGTGATTCTTTCCGGCCATCTGATTTTAATTTAATTTTTTAAATTTTTGATTACAGCCACACCGTATTTTCAGTACAAGTATGGAATTTTCAGCATGGATATCGGTAGCCCAAATTTCGCAGGCCAACCATAGATATCGGGTGTGCGTCGGCAGGGGATCGAACCCTGGATCATGTGCATGGTCGGCGAGAGTCCTAACCACTGTGCCACCGACGCACAGTATAGAGCGAAGGCAGTTGTTGATAAAGGTTTGCAACCTGTTGGAAATATTCTTTGTGACCCGCCAAGTTTCTGATCCGTATAGCAAAACTGACTTGACGTTTGTATTGAAAATCCGAATTTTGTTGTTGATGTTGAGTAACGAAGATTTCCAGATTGGTTTCAGGTTGATGAATATGTTTCTCGCCTTCCCGTTTACTCTAGCATTATATTTTTTATGCTCGTTATAATTTATGAATCTTTCTTGAACTGTAATTCTATTGATCTTAATGACGGTTATTCTAGAATATTTCGTATATATATATATATATATATATATACAGTTGTAGAGCTGGACGACGGATTCATCGAAAAGAATATTCCTAGCCCGAACTTCCTTTGTCTTTTGAATACTTCCAAGTGTTGGTTTGTAGGGATTTCATTGGTTTTAAGTTTGCCCACAAATCATTGATATCAATCAGGGAACCGTTGAAAACCAGTCGGGAGTATTGGAAAACCGTTTCGCTCATGTTTGGAACTCTTCAACAGTATGCGCCTGTGACATCACCAGGGATTGGACCAAAAACCTTCAGGTTAGGAGATACATGAGAATCTTAACTTCTGTCAATTCACCGGTGACCTCTGGCCAGTGTCATTGGCAAATCTTTGGCCTCACATCTGATGTCGTCAGTCACGACTTCTCAGTAGGACTCCTGACAACTTCATCCTGTAGTCACTTACTGTTGAGCATCAGGTTAATTTTCAAGTCTTAGTTTGTATATATACATATTGTTTACAACTCCTATCCGTGGTTTCTCCTCTTTCCTTATATAGACATATGGCTCAAGGGATGAGTGTACTCCGTTTTCCATCAGATACGCTTTTAAGTGCAGTTCTAGAACGTGCTGTCTATCGTCGCCGACTACGTCAACACGGTGGTTATGCTTATCGACTGGAACTATGGCCAAAAAATACAGATCAACAAACAAATTGCCCAAAAGTTGGTGGTGGTAGCACTTTCCTGTCAAATATAACTAATACACAGTTCAAAAATAAAAATTCACAGTTAGATTTAAATCAACGATTGAGTTATTTTATTTCAGCTGGACTGCCTTTACACTTTCTTCTTGTTCGAGAAAGCAGTAAGTATATTCATGTTTGTTAAAATTAATTATGACCTTATCTATTCTACTGAAATTCTGATCAGTTTTTGCACAAAGTACATTTGCAGAACAAAACATTATTTATTGTTCTCTTGGGTTCCGACTGGACCATAAGGCCCCAACAAGAAATCTCCACTTTGTCCAATCCTCTGCGGTCCGCTTCAGCTGGTCCCACGATTGCCTATAAGCTTTCATCTATCCTCATATGATCTCATCCGTGTCACTCTCAGACCCACGCCCCACTTTTCGTTTCCCATTCGAGTTCCACTCGAGCGATGACCTGGTACGCGATGTCATTCGATGGTTTCCTCAGTGTCTTTCTGATCCACCACCATTCGTTCCGTAATATTTGTTGACCAACAGGCTCTTGGTTAGTACGTTCCCAGAGTTTTTAATGCTAATTCTTTCTAGTCGGCCGTCTGGTCTTCAGTAATGACCTAGCGGAGACAACTGTTGATAAAAGTGTGCATCTGACTGTGGGAAGTGCTTTTTGTGACGCACTAGTCAAGTTTCCGACTCATATAGAAGCATTGACTGACTGACTTAAAATTTGTGTTGAAAGTTCGAATTTTGTTGTTTATGGTGGAGCGGAGTGTAGTAGATTTCCACATTGATTTCAGATTGATGAAAGCGTATCTTGCCTTTCCGATTCTGGCTGGCTGGCTTTGCCATTCTCATGCGTTCCGCTGGCTCTAGTTGAAATGATGCATATTAGATAAGTGAAGGCAGGAAGTAACCTCTATCAAATCTCTCCCACTGATTGTGATTGATGCTGGTTTTCTTACTGTTGATTGGTTATCTTCCTCACCTCCGTCTTCACTTTGTTCACGTGGAGTCCTATCTTCGCTGCCAGCCTTTTCAGCCAGTCTGTTGGCTTTCGCTTGTAAGTCTTCTCGTTTGTGTGACATTGACAAAGTTTATCCGCGAAGTCCATATTTTCTAAAGTCTTCTTGTCGGTTGAGCATATTGCTGTGTTCTCGCTTTCCAGAGTCTGACGCAAAATCCAATCTACCACAATGAAGAATATCATCGGTGATAGTAGTCAGTCAGCCTTGTCTTACTCGTTTCTTGAACTCAAAGGCTTCACTGAGTTTAACTTTTGTGAATTACCTGACATGTAGCATTGTTATATATCTGTTGAATGAGGTTGAAAGAGACTTGGCTACTGCACGCCTTAGTGTTGAAGCCGTTTCCAAATTACTTCGTGGCAATCGCTGTCGCAGGCCTCTTCAAAGTCGATGAAGTTGAGGCAAGGATTTGGCTGCCATTCTATGCTGTGTTCGATGATGATGCGTAGAGTTGCTGTTTGATCTGTACGTGATTTGTTTTGCCTGAATCTAGCTAGTTTCGGGCGGAGTTCTGCTTCAGGTCATGGAAATGGATTATTAGTTGAGAATTATGAGACAAAAAGATGCAGGCGAATTTCATACCAAACATATTGAGATTTCTGATGAAGGTATTCAGAAGAAATTGTTTTTATTCAGCGTCTTCACCTGATAGGACTACACCATTTACACACAGTAAATCTACAAAATTGTTCTGTGTTTGAGTGCTAGGATGCCCCCCAACCACACTGAAGTTTTGTGTTCAATTCCCTGTTGAAGTACCCCGAAATATTGCCTAACCTCCTATATTACGCTCGGAAAACGGGGAAGATTGGATCTCATTTCGTCTCTCTGAGCTACAACCATGTGTAGACATTAAGAAACCCTATCATCATAGCACCGTATTAAAAAAAATTGACAGTAAGTTTGCGTACTTCTGGTACACAGGGAAAGTGACAGCTTCATAGTCACTGATCCCTTTTTCTGCCTTATTTTTGGTGAACTTTTCGAAGACGAATTTTTTCACAAACCTACATCAGTTAGAGTAGAGTGTACTGAGCGTAGTTTTGAGACTCTTCAAGAGTTCGTACTCATCGTATGGTTTGACCAGGAACGTTTAGGTTTTGAGACTGGTGCATTTACCACTCAGTCACTGTGTTGCAATCCAATGACCTATAATCTCTAACCTTCTTCTATTCGCGATATAGTACCACTTCTATCCATTGATGCACCCCAACGATTTCGGCTTCTCATCATAACTCTAGGAAATCACTGGTAAGCAATTAATTGTTATTCAGAAGTTTGGTTTTTGAGGTTTTGGTGATCGATATCAAGGTCGATTTTGCTACAATTCAACGTGAATCAGAGAGCTATTGAAAGCCAGGGAGTACTAATAAATGACTTTCATTCTGTTTTGCAATCCTTCAAAACAGTGAGGGCGCCGACAAACCCACCTTCTGAATAAACTCTTGTTTTCAACACTAACTATCAAATATATATGCAGTAAAATATATTTTAATGTCTTCAGTAGCCAAGAAAAGCAAGTTGTATTATTATTATTGTATCCTTTAATTCCTAGAGGAACATAGGGCTCCAGCCGTGCGTCTCCATTGCGTTCTGTTCTCTGCTAGAGTCTTCACCTGGCTCCATGTCTGCCCACACGTTTTCATCTCCTCTTCACATGACCTCCTCCAAGTCACCCTTGCACTGACAACCAACTCGCCGCTTCCCGTTCGGGTTCCACTCGAGCAATGGCTTGTCTAGTGATATCACTTGATGGTTTCCTAAGAGTATGGCCAATCCATCTCCATTTCTTCCTACCTATTTGTTTCACAATCGGTTCCTGGTTGGTTCGCTCATTGCCGGAGATCCCTGTTGCTAATCTTTTCTGGACGGCCATCTGATCTTGAGTATTGAGCGAAGACAACTGTTAATGAATGTCTGTAGTTTGTTTGAGATGCTCTTTATGACGCGCCAAGTCTCTGATCCGTATAGTAGCACTGACTTCACATTGGAGTTGAAAATCCGGATCTTATTTTTGATGCTGAGTGCTGTTAACCTCCACACAGACTTGAGAGTAGTGAAAGCTTGTCTTGCTTTTCCTATTCTTGCTTTGATATCCTCGTCAGTTCCGCCTGTAGTTGAAACGATGCTTCCCATGTAGGTAAAGGAGGTAGTTTCTTTCAGGTTCCTTCCATTTATGCTGATTGTTGTCTGTTGTTGTTGTTGCTGTTGGTGGTGTTGCCCAGGAATTTTCATCACCTCTGTTTTATCTATGTTCACCTGAAGTCCTATCTTTGATGCTTCTTCTGCTAACTTGTTGATTTTCGTTTGCATGTCTTCCAGTTTGTGGGAAATCAGACATATATCATCGGCGAAGTCCAGATCCTCCAAGTTTTTTGTGTGTGTCCATTTTATGCCTGTTTCCTCATTGCCCACTGTTTGTCGCATTATTCTTCTAAATTTATTTGTTTGTTTCTTTTGGTTTGTAACTATCTAATTTAGGTCGTTGTGATCCAGCACTTTCAGAACACGGTGGTGATATCGAAACAATCGAACAAATAGATTCTGCACCAATGTTAGATACATCAGAACCAGTACATACAGCTTTACAGTTAAGACAATATCAGGTGACATACTTGAAAGGCCTTTTTCCACGTGAAGTTCAATTAAGTAAGACAAGTGTTTTATGAATAAAGTGTATGCCTCTTTCATTGATATACCTGGTTCATTTTCCCCCAGAGCTGTTAACAGATTTTGTTCTGTGAAGACTGGTAACAGGGAAGTGTAGTTATGAAATCTGATATTCAACTAAGAGGGATCGTAGGTTTTCAGTGTCATGCCATCCATATACCGAAGTGTGTACAGCCAGACGGTATAGTAATAGTAATAACACACGTATTCTGGACAATGTTGATATGATGTACAGAATTTCCAGCTCAGTTTGTTGCATGATAGTTACTTTTCGTACAGGGTCTTCAAAAAAAGTAGTAATTGATCACGAGCTGACATCAGTTAGAAAACCATTGGAAATCAGCAGGAAGTACTGAATAGCCGTGTCGTCCTAGTTTAGGACTATCTGGCAGAACGCACCGACTGGGGTTCTAAACCAAGACCTTCTGGTTGCAAGGCAAGCTCGTAGACCCAGTAGTCCATGAATTCCAATTTCTGCCAATGGTTCTCTGACCGATGTCAGCTTGTGATAAATCCTGTAACTAATCAAATCCCTGGAAACCAACACCTAGAAAATAGTAATTAACAGTAGATCTCATGACACAATACTGTCTGATCTGAAGACAAAAATCAATCTCTTATGGTATTTCTTCTTTGTCTCCCTAGAGAAACGTGCGAGATTTTTCGTTTGCCAATTATACAAAGTTTAGAAGTTGTCTCATGTATTGGGACACACTGCCCCCCCCTCCCACGATGATGCTTTTTCTCAAGTTTAGTAGAAGTTGGCGAATCAGCGGGTTGTGAACACTTTAAATACTCCCGAGAGGAAATTATACCATTAGAGGTTATATTTTAACCGATTAGAACGAAGTGAACAAGGGAAATTATATGCAGTATAATGATGGAGCTTTTTTATAGCCAAAGTTCTAAGCAGGTCGCAGTGGTATAGCTAACCACGTAATTTACTGTTGTTCAATGCACTCAGTGCTTGTATGAACACATGTTTTTGAGCTATTATGAAAAAAAAATAATATTAGACTTACATTTCATAATTGCTGACATAGCTTTTGGGTGTGCATATTCCAATTACCCTACGAGGTGTATACCTACTGAATCGATTGTTCTGAGAAATCCTCCAATATCCGAAAGGTTGGATCGGTAGGAACAAAACTATGAGGAGCCCTTGTCGTAGTGCTGTTTGCCGGAGGTATTTTCGGTCCCCTGTGTAATCTGCTTGGTAGCATAAATGGTATTCAAGAGGCATGACAGATACTACTGCTTAGCGTGATGGGTACTAACTGATCGACTGACTGGTTTCAACGTAACACCTGGTACAGATATGCAGCAGTTCGAGTTAACAAACTTCCTCTATGTAGCACACAAAGAAAGAGAAGAGAGTAAAAAGAGATCCCAAGGAGAGAAGGAGAGATAATAAACAGAAGTATGAGTGCACTTTAATTTCATCATAGATCCCTGATGGAGTCAATCAACAGGATGATGTCCTCTTGATTAACAAGAAGTTTAGTTTAGTAAATCTGACTTATTTGCACTGTATTTTCTTTCGAAAATTCATTATCCCATAGGCTGATGTTCTTATGTATGTCAGTGTTTAATCTGTCTTCCTCTGAGTCACTCTGTTAATCTTACTGTTTGTATTGTAATGATACGTGTTACAATCCAGGTAGACGTGTTTCATTGGCTTAAGTATTTGGTTTTCAGTCTATAGATGCCAAGTTTGAATTCCTTTCCACCATCCTACTTCATTTTCCCCATTTCTGTTTAACTTCATCATAGATATGCTAATGGAAGTATCCTTAACTGAACTCAACGACTTAGGAATCGACTTGTTACTAAGGAATAGTCTTATGGACTTAGAATATGCAGATGACATAGTCTTGTTAGGGGAGGATGCTGACGAAATGCAGAGTCTGCTGAACACCTTGAGCAGCAATCTTCGTATGTTTGGCATGTGATACGCCCCTGTAAAATGTAAGATGCTGCTACAGGACTGGACTACGTCTACCCCTAGCTTAGTGATAGGGAGTGAAGTGATAGAACATGTTGACCACTTCACCTATTTAGGAAGTTGTATCAGCACCAACGGATTGATTGGTGACGAAATTTCAGCACGGATCCAAAAAGCTCGGGCTGCTTTCGCTAACTTACACCATCTCTGGCGTGGGCGTGACGTCCGACTATCAACCAAGGGACGTGTGTACTGCTCAGCAGTTCGCTCCATCCTTCTCTATGGTGGTGAGACGTTGCCATTGAGAGCGGAAGACAAGAAAAGGTTCTCTGTATTTGACCACAGATGTTTACGATCTCTTTCTCGCGTTAGGTGGTATAATAAGGTAAGTAATGTAGACGTTAGGCGTAGAGTGTTGAGCAAAGAGGGAAAATCAATCGACGAGGCTGTAAAGTTACATAGATTGAGATGGCTAGGTCACGTGCTGCGCATGCCTAACCATCGCCTCCCCCGACGGGCATTACTAGCTGATATAGGTGCAGGTTGGAAAAGAGTAAGTGGTGGCCAAACAAAAACATGGCATCAGTCAATCCATGAAATCCTTAACAGTTAAACTGAGTCAGGTAGGGAGATGAAGACTTCCGGGTTGGGGTCCTCGGGACTCTAAAAATCAATGGCTGGAGACAATAGGTGACATGGCTCAAAATCGTTGTCAATGACTTACGCAGATGTATTCAGTCTCTGTAATCTTCCATATTCCTTTCTACCATTACTCACTCTGTTTCACTCGTATACTTCTCAAAACTCTATTGATTCTCTTCACTCATCTTCTTGTCTACCTTTGTGTGCTTTTTGGAACGTGGCAACTCGAACTGCTGCACTTCGGTGCCAAGCTCTATGTTGAATCCAGACAGAGAGACAGATATCCTACTTCATTAAGCCTGGGAAATTGGATAGTAACATCAACCATTGTAGCTTTGGACATGAAAACATGTTCTACGCAACTGGGTTACATCACAGACTGATAAATTCAGTATCCGTTATTGTCTTCAATCACCTTTTATTTGACCACCAATCAGAGAGAGAGAGAGAGTAGAAGATTTCAGTGGGAATTTTTCTGAATCAATTTCTCAAGATTTGCAAATTAGCTCTCAATTTTGTGAATTAATTAGCAATTTAAGCAATTTACACAGTTCGAGGTGACCATTTTACCACAGATTGTTTGTTCCTCTTGCTTACAAGAGAAATCTCATTAGTATCCTGATGTTTTGTTCTAGAAAACAATACACAACCTATACTCTTGACGATGAAATAAGGAAGATAGAAAACTTATTGTATGAGAACGGATATCCAGGGAAATTTGTTAAAGTCTCCATAATGAGAACAGATAGAGAGAAATGCCTGCAAACTGTACAGAAGAAACGTATGTATACATGATTTTACCGTTTAAAGGAGACCTAGCCAATAAACTACTGGTATCGAAACTCTGAAAAATGAAAACTAAGACATTTTTTGAAGCAATAGTATGTTTAAATTTCACTACTCGCTGAATAATTCCAATGCAGGTGAAGGATAAGCTACCAAGGCTGGCCACTCCAATGTACATTTATAAATTTAACTGATAGGTACATAAGTAGAATGACTCAGTTAGCCGACCGTGACGATTATCCATCTTGGTTAGGTAAAGGAGTAGTAAAGTCGACCAGGAGTTCCATATTGACTGGCACTTCTTGTGGATACGGATCACGAGATTTATAAAAAATCAGCTTTTACAGTTCTATACATGGTAGCACCCCAATTCCCTAAGTTTATACGTCTTCGATTATTAAGCAGAGCTGAGACAATCGCGATAAAAAATTTTTCTCCCCAGTTTTTCTGTTGAGGTGAAGTTTGTTCAGTTCCTCTCCCTCCCATGGCCTTCAACCCCGAATTACAATAGTCATCCCGGTTAGAAGTTAATTGGTGGATGGTGACTAGCAGTGAAGTCCAGGATGCACATTTCGTCCTATTAGGGACTCATCACCTGGATGTACCTGCATTCCGTGGTGAGTGGTGATGTTCCCACCGAGACTCGAACCCAGTGCCCATAGTTTCAGACGCCAATCGATCGACGGGAAAATGTAAAAAAATTGAATTAAATAGTTATCCCGGTTATTATTATTATTACTATTATTATTATTCTACTTACATTCTCCATTATTATTATTATTATTATTATTATTATTATTATTATTATTATTATTATTATTATTATTATCAATAATATTAATTTTATATCCCTTAATTCGTAGAGGAACATAGGGCTTCAGCTGTGTGTCTCCATTGCGTTCGGTTCTCTGCTAGAGTCTTCACCTGGCTCCATGTCTGCCCACATGTTTTCATCTCCTCTTTACATGACCTCCTCCATGTCACCCTTGCACTGACGACCAACTCGCCGCTTCCCTTTCGGGTTCCACTCGAGCGATGGCTTGTCTAGTGATATCACTTGATGGTTTCCTAAGAGTATGGCCAATCCATCTCCATTTGATTCTATTGGTCCAGATTGTTTCAAATATCTATGGCTGATATTTTTGATTACGTAATTGTAAAGCCTGATGAAAATTTATCGAAAATACGGCATTTTTTTGTTGAAGTCATGTTGTAAAATTGAAACTATTCAGATCATGATGAATGTAATATGCTTGATACCATCCATGAATGGCAATCAAGAAAACAAGCATAATTGCACAAAACTATATGCGCTACTGACCGACTGAGATTGAAACCCAGGTCGCTCTCAACAGCGATTGCTTCCCTAGTTTGCAATTCTTAAGCAATGCTCACCCTTGACCACTACACTACTCCACCAGGACTCGAAACACCTGTCCAGTGATCTATTTCTTATTTCGCTAATCCAACTATGTCTTTTCATGTATTTTTTTTACTTTTATCAAACAGATATTTCCCTGAATGAAGTTAAACTTGAACAGGGAAGTACATCGAAAACCCGTCGAAAATTATTCTCAAAAATAATGAAACCGATTAGCATAGAAATTAATGCAATTGCTGATTGTGAATTAATCTCTTCTGGATTTTCTACCGGCAGTGGAGTGGATAATAAATCTGGTTGTGGGAACAATGATTCAAAAACTATCAGTATGAGCAGTAGTAGTGCATTGACAGTCGGTGGTATTGGTGGTGGTGGTGCACTTACTGACAACATCACATCTACAGATGCATCTGTCAGTGTTAAAAGCTCAAATAAAAACGTGAATGAACAGTCATCGAAGTCAATGATTTCACGTAAAGCTCAATTTAGAATTGTTTACATTGTAAGTAGTAGTAGTAGTGGTCGTTGTTGTAGTGTCAGTATTATTATTATTATATACATAAATACTGATTTGTTTTGTTTATTCCTTTTCTATACCTGGCTAAAATGAATTCATTATTTTGTGAAAATTGCCATTCACACTTTTGGAAGGCAAAAGAAAGTTTGAGGAAAGAATATTCTATTCGATAAATTCATATTCTAGAGGTACAATTTTATGTATTTATAGGTACAAAATATTCCAGAATAATCGTCATTAACAATAATTATGTTTTCTTTAAATATTATCGATTTGTCAAGACCAATGGACTTAGAGTTCAAGAAAGATGCCTGAGTTACAATAAGTCTGAAAAATATCACGCTAAACTAAGTAGATAGAATATTAGATAAAATCAAGAAGAGAATTTATGCCACAAATTTGAGGATAGTTAGCACCTCAATGACCAAGGCTTCGTGTGCTTTTTGAAGTGTGTGGGCGGTTGTCACTTCCCGACTATCCACACCGTCGAAGTTCATTTTTTCTTACAGTACCTGAAACAGAAACAGAATTAGTGTTGCGTCTCTTCAGAGTCCAGAGGACAACTGCTCGAGAACGGGCATACACTCCCTGGCTCAACTGGCTGTTTGGTGTGGTCCCGTATTAGTAAACTTACCGCCGGCTGCCGACCACCGTGGGGTAAGTCAGGATATACAATTCTTGGGGTCGACCTCTTCTAACCCACACCATACCTCTCTAGATTGGAGAGACAACATGGCTGGCATGCCGGTCATTTCAGGGAAATACCTTACTGCTGTTACATCTCTATTCCCCAGCACTATCACTTTGTTCACAGACAGACCCCCAGCATAGTGTAAAACAATCTTACACTATGACAGTAACTGCTTTTAGTTTAATCGCTATCCTAACAAACTTCCTGTCATTGTAGGGCCTGCAGGAACAATAGTTCCAGCCAGTGTAGCTTGTTGAGCCGTTGAGATATGCAAGTCTGACCACCACGTCAAGGTAGCAGTTATCTGTTGTGGATGGTTAAGGTAAAGAAATCGTCTGAATCAATTTATTTTGGGTATATAATATATTAGGCTTCTTAATGTAGATTCCGACGGTTTCAGAAATATGTAACAGACGAACTCTTGAGGTAAAGTTAAAATTAATTGGAATACCCGTAGATGACTTTGAAAGTCTTGTTAACATCATTTTTGTGTTCTGTATCCACGAGATGTCATTTATGTAACGACAGTAGAATTCTACTTCACCAATAACATCTTCCAAAGGTCCATTCTCTAGTTTTTCCAGGAAAATATCAGCTAGAATTGGTCTCAGTAGTCACCCAATCGGCACACCATCAAATTTGTCTGTGAAATGAACATTTATTGTGCATCTCAAAAGGAACCCCTTTCATAAAGGATGCATGAGTGCAAGGGATAAACAAATATCATTTATACCTTTATTCAATCTCATTTCATGGATACAGAACACAAAATTGATGTGAACAAGACTTTCAAAGTCTAATCTTAATTTTTACACTTCAATAGTTTACTTCAACCTTTGGCCATCATCAAGGTATTAACTATCCTCAATTTTGTTGCATAAATTTTCTGCTTTATTTCATCTGCTAATCATATTTTTTATGCTTAATTATGACTTATAAAAAAATCAAAACAAGTGATTCAGCGAAGAGACTCTTTTCAACGAATTTATTTATCAAGCTGTACAATCGTATGTATATACGGATTTTTTTATAAGAAATTTTTATCTGCTGATGGAATTGAATCATAGGTGCGAATACATAAAATAAAAATAATAGTATAAAATGCAATTAAAACTAAAATGTTTGTGATTATAATCATAGTTAAATTTCAAGTGGCAAAACAATTCTATAGTATCAAACTTCACTTAATGTTACGTAACGTTTTTATTTGATTCGATTTGCCTACATATCCTATAATTTCACATCCCTTCAAATTTCTATACAACCTGTTCTATATACGACATTAGTTATTTTACCACTTGACATTTAACTGCGATTATAATCACAAACATTTTACTTGCATTTCATACTATTACTATTTCATGTATTCACACTCATGATTCAATTCCCTCACCGGATAAAAATTTCTTAAAAATTGTGTATACACGATTGTACGGCTTGATAATAAATTCGTTGGAAAGAGTCTCTTCGCTGAATCACTTGTTTTCATTTTCTATATGTTACAATGGGAATTTTCCATGAATATTATTGTGGTGAGAGCTGGCTGCAACCCAAAATTGTAGACAACAATTTACGTCAATGTTCACAACCCGAATCAGGGTCATGAGAAAAAACAATAACTAAGCGTAACCTTGAGAAAATCACCAGCCAATCACAGCGGAGTTAACGTGTGGAAATATGATTCGCAGACATATGGCTTGATTTTCTGAGAAACGGCCACAGAATAACCTTCAGCAAGAAAACAACCAACCAGAAAAGGTTGTTTCTCCGCTAACAATACTGTACATAAAAATCTAAAAATACCTCTTGATTTTCTCAATAAAAATCTGTTGCCTGGCCCTTGTCTTCTGTCGTTACATTATCACTTATGCATCTTTCTTGAATTGTAATTTTACTGATCGATATTACTTCAAGGAAAACACAAATATTATTAATGACGATTACTCTAGAATATTTTGCGTATATAAACTTCATATAATTGTAGAGCTGGAAGGTGTATTTATCAATTAGAATATTCTTTGTTCGAACTTTCTTTTGTCTTCTAAATGTCTGAATGAGATCCACATTAAGAAATCTAATTTATGTGTGCAAAAGAAGCTAGTTCAGAAATTGTCCCTATTTTTGCCATCTAGGTTCGAATGATCCTCAATGTTTTGTAGAAATTTCCTTAATTCTATTTGATATTCTATTCGCTATTATATTATTATTATTATTATAATTATTATAATTTAAGCATCTTCAATGAACTGTAATTCCATTGATCTTACTTAACAAATCGATATTATTTAGAAAGAAAAACTAATATTGTTGTTGACTACTATTCTAGAATAATGCATATATATATATATATATATATATATATATATATGCATAATTGTACAGCCAGAAGAGGAAATTATCGAAAAGGATATTCTTTGCTCAGTTATTTTGTTTTTTTTATGAATGAGTGTTGTTGACACACTGAAGCCATCACATATATAGTTCATGGTTTAGGTATGTAATGATGGTTGCATACACGAACTCCTTTTAGTGAATTTGAACAAATCAATAACAGCACATATAGATCAGGTTATGAGAGATGATCACTGACAAAATTGGTCGAATACATTGATTTCACTCATTGGTTGTTTTTTTAAAATGTGCGATATTGAAGATCCAATATGATAAATGTTTTATATTTTATGATTGTAAAAGCGATTGGATTTTAAGTAGAGACTAGTCACATTAACTGATTATCGGTCGGGCTCTTCCTGGTGTTAACAGTAAACTGAAGTGTTGTTATGCGTTTTGTTATCCTTGTATACACACTTAAAAAAATATTTTTTCTCATTTTAAATGCCTCTTTTCTTTCTTTCTTTTTTGGTTTTCTGTTTTCCTTTTGTGAATATCGATGCAATTAGCCGAATTTTAAGTCATACTCCGACTTAATCATGTCACAGTTGACCAGTATTACTAGTAGCGCCAGTGGACAGAAGTCAGCTCTATCGGTCGCGGTGGCGGCGACGACGACAACAGCAACAACAACTACAGTTACTTCTCGATCAACTGTGAACAATCAACCGGTGATCAACCCAACGACGTCTTCTTCTTCATCACCTGCTTACACTGCTACAATTCCCTCTGGACAAGATTCACCTGTATACACTAGCAGTAATAACAATACAAGTGGTACTGGTGTTAGCGCCAGCATTCCGACGACTGCTATTTCTACTATTTCTTCTAATACTGTTATTTCTAATAGTAGTAGTAGTAGTAGTAATTTATTTCAGCAGTTGTGCTTTGAAACACAATGGGCACGAGCTCGGGCTATCTGCGATCAGTTGAATATTATCCTGGAGGTTAGTCAAAGCCAAGCTCGTCAGTTTTATATTCAAAGAAAGTTGAATACATGATGCTGATATCAATGCGCGCGCAGCATGACTGTCATCCTGGACTTCTCTATACAAATATATATACATACATATGATTGTTAATATATTTTTCTATTTAAAATATATATGTATTTAATTACCTAAAGTCAATATTCCTGCATTTTTCGGAAAGAGATGGAAGGGTGACTTGTGTGATGCATTGCACAATAAGCTGTCCAGTATATGTATATATATTCATATATATATATATATATATATATATACATTTCACGTGGTTCTCGTTTCTCATTCACCTTCCACTTGACGGCCTGATTTGTGATGTTACTCAACGGTCTCCTCAGCCTGTATGTCCGACGTTTCTCCATTTGCTTCGGCTACCCATCTGGTTTCCAGTATATATATCGAGTACGGGAAGATAAAAGTCTGCAGCAGGCTGTTGGTAATGCTTAAGGACTTACTGACTTGACTGTACTGTAGAAAATCCTCATTTTGTTCCTCATACCGAATGCAGCATATTTCTACAGCCATACTTCAGAGTAATGAATGTTTTTCTTCCTTTTCCAATCTTATCCTGTGTTTGGTACCCTTATTTGTGCTGCCTGTAGTTAAAATTTTAAAGGAGCACGCTTTATTCTTTGCTTTTAAATAATTGATGTAGGTTACTTTACTTTACTTCTGCTATCTCCTACGAGAGGATGAGCCGGCTTCATGAACATCTCGAATCATCGCTGCCCAGGCGCGGCGATCTGATGCAAGGTTTTGCGACAGGGTTATCCAATTCTTGTTCCACAGACGGAGTCCGTAGACGGTTTGTAGCCCCAGGCACTCCATATCAGCCTTGGCTGTACTGAGCCATGTTTTCAGCTGTCCACCCCTGCGACATCGCCAAGATGGTAATGGCGAGGGATTTAGAACTGATTTGAGCAGATCATCATCTGGTCGGCGCAGAACATGGCCAAACCACCGAAGGCGACGTTGTTGGACCAGTACTGGAATTTGGTTGATGTTGTAGCAACGACGACGCACTTCTTCGTTGGAGAGTTTGTCCTGCCAACGAACATGCAGAATGTACCTGAGGCACCAATGGTCTACTACCTCAAGTCTGCGTACATCTTCTGCGCGAAGAGGCCAGGTTTCACAGCCATACAGGAGAACGGATCGTATGGAGGCTTGGTAAACCCGAATTTTAGTCCTGAGACTGATTTCCCTCTTGCTCCATAGAACGCTTCTCAGCTGAAGAAACGCATTCCGGGCGTTGGAGATCCGCGCATTCACTTCGTTTTTCGCTTGACCGTTGGGAAGCATTATGGATCCCAGATATCTGAAGGATGGCACAATTTCAATAGGTGCTCCATTCAGGTATAAGATTTCATCATTGCTGGTGGATGTGTTCGAAAACATTTTGGTTTTGGAAGTGTTGATTTCCAAACCGATGGTAGACGCGAGGTGGTTTATCTGATCGAGCGCCTGTTGCATATCGGGAAAGTTTTCAGCTAGTAACACGACGTCGTCGGCGAATTCGAGGTCGGTTATGTGAATATCGGGCGAAAGTTGGACGCCGTGGTGCTCGGTTAGGGCGTGCCGCAAAATCCAATCAATTGTGAAATTGAACAGAATGGGGGATGCTGGACAACCTTGCCGGACACCGCTGGTTACCTCAAAAGTGCGAGACTCTTCACCGTTCACTCGGACTCGAGCTTTGGTGTTGGAGTAGTATGACCTGAGCAGGTTGATTAGCTTGGTCGGAACTCCGTCGAGCTCCATTAGATACCAGAGTGCTCCTCGATCAACTGAGTCGAATGCAGCTCGGAAGTCGATGAAACAAGCAACCGTCGGCTGTTGATATTTGTCCCTGTGTTCCAAAATTCTTCGCAGTGTGAATAATTGATCAATACAGCCTCTTCCAGGTCGAAATCCGGCTTGATTTGGCCTTGTTCGCACGTGGCGTTCGGCAGCGAAGCGGTTCAGGAGAATGGAGACAAAAACCTTAGCAGCGATATCAATCAGACTTATGCCTCGGTAGTTCTCACATATTGACCTGTCTCCCTTTTTGTGGAACGGTAGCAAAACTGAGGTGCTCCAATCGGAAGGAATAGTTTCGGAATCCCAAATTGCGCAGAATAGCGAGTGCAGCGAATCGATTAGCGCTGGAGTGCAGGCCTTGTATATTTCTGGAGGTAGGCCATCTTCGCCCGGAGCTTTCTTGTTCCTGAGTCTGCTAATTGTTTTAGCTATTTCGGTTGGAGTGGGTGGATCGCAGTCAACTACGTAGGGTGTTGGTATGTGTTGTATCGGTCGATGAGGAGGTTGACCAGCGTTGCGATTGAGTAGCTGCTTGAAATGTTCGGCCCATCGTTCCATCTTGCCATTGGTGTCCGAAATAATTTCTCCTGATGCTGTGCGTAACACAGCATGGCTGTTAAGGCGTTTGCCAGATGATAGGCGTATGAGGCGATAAAGTTTTCCGAAATCGCCTACATTTGATGCTCCTTCCATGTTGGTCGCCACATTAGACCAATAGCGATTTCTATCATTCCTAGCAGACTGTGTAGCTTTGCGCCTGAGGGAGCGATAAACTGGAGACTTTGCTAGGCGAGCGTCTCTGGCTTGCGAGGATAGATGCATAGTATGATCTGAAATCCAGTCTTTCTGTTTGTTGGATGTGGTACCCAAATGCGACATTGAAGCTTTAGAGACTACTTCTTTGAAATGATTCCATCGTGTCTCAGGTGTATTAGAAGATGTGGATGTTGGCTCATCTGCGGCGCTTAGTTCGGCCTGGATTTGTTTGGACAAGGCTTGTCGCTTTATCGAACATTGAAGCGGGGCAACATTGATACGCTTCGGAGGTCGCACCTTCTGGCGTGTTGTTAAACGAAGTTTGAATTTCGCCCGAACTAGAGTATGGTCTGATCCCCCTTTGTTTCCGGCCTCTGCGCCACGATAGGATCGGCAGTCCTCCACCGAGGAGATCCAGCGTGAGCGCACTAGGATGTAGTCAATCTGATGTGCAGTGCGACCGTCGTTCGAATACCAGGTGAGAAGATGTTTTCTAGGGTGTTGAAATCGAGTGTTGGTGATATATAATCGATTGTAATCAGAAAAAGCTAAAAGTCTATCACCGTTACGGCATTGCTGATCGAGACCGTGTTTGCCTAGTATATGTTTTGTTGCGTCGTCTGAAGGGCCAGTGCGGGCGTTCCAATCGCCGGCTACTATGAGAACGTCACGCTTTGGGATTTTGTTGATTGCCCCTTGAAGATTGTCATAGAATTCGTCTTTGATACTTTCATCAGAGTCGAGGGTTGGGGCATAGACAGCGAGAACAGAAATGTCGAGTGGGGAACCCTTGAACCTAGCGATTGCAACTCTGGAGTTGACCGGTTCGAACGATATTAGGGCATTATTGGCTTTGTTACTGAGAGCAAATGCTACCCCATGTTGTCCCGAATTATTCTGGGGTCCACTATGAAGCAACCAGAATGAAGAATCTGTTCCAGGTACGGCTATTCGGCGGGAGCCATGATCGGGCAACCTCACTTCAGATAGACACGCTATGTCCACCTTGTAGTCGTATAAAGAACGCATGGTGATAGACTGGCTACCAGGGTCTAACAGCGTCCTAACATTCCAGCAGCCAACAAATAGTTGGTTCCTAAGTGTTAATTGATGTAGGTGATTCTTTATAGTTTACCGTCAAGACTCCGTCACTTATCTCGTGATATGCTTTGAACTAGTCAGTTACATTTTTTTTTCATTTTCAGTCGCTAATCGCCTATTAATTAGTCGCCTTAAAGTGCAGTAAAATTTAGTGCTAACTCGATTTAACAGTATCGCATTAAGTTCTCGGCATGTTTAGTGCTAGAATACATCGAACAAACAAGTATTTAAGATATACTGGTATCTATCTAGTCGAATAGAAACAGGCGTTAGTAAGGTTATGGTTTGAGAGATTACTAAAACTTTTCTTTGAAGTTAGACTACATGAAGAGTCGACCTTTCTGGAAGGATGTGTCTGAAAACGATTACCTGAAGAAATTCATAAGCTGATGATAAAGGGAATACGTTAATGAAAAGAAATGTAGTCACAATCCGGCAAAAGCCAGTCTTCATGGAATTCTTCTGTAATGGTGAATTACCAGGAGACTAAGAATAATATTCTCCAGAACTTGTCCAGTAGCTAAAAATATTCCTGTATGCGGCATTAATTGTGCTCCTTATCAATCGAGAGTGCACATGTACCAATGAGAAGTTATTTTCAACTGTGTTTATCAATTCACATTTACATTCTAGAGAAAGTATATTGGAGTAATGGAAAATTGGGTGTCCAGTGTATCTTCTGAGCATATTTCAAAAAGCCTGAGATTCAAATGGTTCTAAGTCCTTTAGTGCCCGACATTTATTAGCATCACCATTATAAAGAAGCACAGGAAGCCAACTTTACTTCGGTTTGCCGAATCTATTGTTACTAGGCTGTTTGAACCCACTCTCTGTTGAGAAAACGAAAGTTATTCAACGTATCACGTAATTAATTCCTCCTGCGTATTGCTGAACACGTGAAATACTTTGTTGTGGGCCATTTACCGAAATCCTCCTCATCATCTTTCAGACTTTTTGTAAATGCAGTGGTTTTGCATTCTGTGTCATTTGTAATTTCTGTGTCATCATTTCACTCTTTGCCCTTTCGTACATTTGCAATCTTGATGCTTAGTAGAAGGAAAAGAAAGGTATTTTATTTGGTTGGTTCCTCTAAGGTGGTTGGCCTAATTGTGAAGCTTTCGTTCTCCTTCCAGACAACATCTTCAGCTCAGGTTTTAGCATGAAATGAACTTGTTTGAATTCTCCATGAATGATAAGGTAATTGTATCTCCTGACCCAAGGATCCAACAGCATAAATACTCCATTGTTCAAAATGGGAGTTCCTTTCGAATCAGAATCCAAGAACATAAGTTAGCTGTGAAAAGACGCGATTTTTATTCTTTTATGTCGATGGAGGTAGATAATTACGGACACAAATTTGA